CAACCTTGCTGCCGATCGTCATGCATGGGCCGCCATCATTAGAGACGTCCAAGAAGCCGATTTATCCTCCCACTGGAGTTAGTCGCTCAAAAGTAAGACTAAAGTAACTAAGTATCATCAAAAAGTTCTTGTATTCGTACCAGATTGTTTTACGTTGTACCGATTGAGGAGATAAAAAGAAATGTTAACATCGCGTAAAAAAGACGAATACAATCAAATGATATAAAGCGATGAACAACGGCCACTTTGTAGGAGATAAAATCGATTAAGTGGAACGACGAATCCATCCGTATCTAGGATCGATATGATAATCGAACCAGATAGAAAACTACACCAAATCCGTGATCCCACGCGTTCGTCGACGGGCGGGGGATTGCGAACTAGTGAGATTTTACCGGGAGTATTTGTGGTGATTCGGATCTACGAGATCACGCCTGTCCTGGAGCAGCGCGGTACAGTTTCCAGACATTGGTAGTCAATCGACCTTGAGAAATGACGCCAGTAGCACGTGCACAGCCTCCGGATACACGGCACTGGTGGACCGTTCCAGCCAATCAGATACAATGCAGAGAAGAGCAGTATGACGCAAGATGTGATGCAATATGATTGGTGGAAACTAAGGTAGCCAATGATCTTTTCTTGTGTACATATATATTCACTTTCATTTCCTTCAATAAACGACTTTGTGATTCGCCTGTCTTGCGGCCTTCTTCCTCGCGTCTCGATCCTGCGGGTTGTTGCGAGTTCGAGCCATTGCGGTCCAGTGCCATCGGTTTTCTAATTCGTGTTCCGTGCTTCCTATTGCGTAGTTCGTGTCCTGAATTCTGTGCGTAACTTCACTACTACTACCTCCATTACCATTACAGTATTCGATGCAGTTTCTCAGTAAGCATCGAATTTGCTGGAATTCGAAGCAGGGAACGAGACGTGGCGTGTGGGTGTGCGTGCTTCCCGTCAAGTCAGTTCAAGTCAAGGGTGCACTTTATTCTTCTAGTTAAAACAGAATTTTCAGTGAAAACAGTGTGATCTTCTTTTCTTTAGCGCGCGCGCTATTAAAAATTAGTTTAAAGATATGAAAAATAGTGATTTAGATGACAATGAAAAGGATACTGAGAACGCGTAAAAAATGAAGAAAATTCCGGCATGAAACTTTCGATGAGACTGTGTATAACTTCGTTTGATATTCGTTCTATGGAAACCAACAAACGTGAAAGGTAAGATACAACGGAATGGTCTTCATTCTTCAGTATTGAGGGCAGAGGGCAGGGTGCCCGTGAAAGCCCCATCACCCCTGGATCAAAGGCTCGATTACAAGTGTTCGTTCCTCCATAGCCCCTTCAGGTGCTCATCCAGACACCATTTGAAAGCAGCATCTGTCTGCCCCTCCACCACATACACTTTAAGGGAATTCCAGAGTGTCTTTGACCTCCGCGAGAGTCGGCAAACTAAAGTAAAACCAACTGACTGAAGTTTCCGTAACGTGAGACAGTGTCCCCGCGTGCGGTCCTCTGTCCATAAAGGGAAGTGCCGTTGCAGCTCCGGGCCCATATCACCTCTCAGGATCTTCCTCAGACAGATGAGACCTCCCTGAGGCGCCGATACGCAACTGGGAACAAACCAGTAACCTGTAGACAACCTTCATAGTCTAACAACGATGTACATGCTCCAACCTAGCCAGTTCACCGGCCGTGCAAGGGTATGTTGCCGCACCAGGTCTTGGTCTGACATGGAAGCGTACAGCAGCCTGAGAGCGTCCATCGTGGGCCGGTTGAAAGACCGCCGAATAGGCCCCAGAATGCTCCATGAGCTGGCACAGACTTGATCGGTGTTTTCTCAGGTCTTTAGTGATGACGTAACCATAACTTATAGGTCTCTTTCGCACAATGTTCTGCGCAATTTGGTTCCCTTGACCTTGTAGACTACCTCTGAATCAGCACGCCCCAAGTGCAGGTGAGCACACTTTGGGGTGTTGACTGGAGGAGCCAAGGCGTCCGCCCACTGAGCCAGGTTAGTCAAATCCGCTTGAAGATATCTTCAATCATTTGGATCCTCGATTGTATGCCAGATTTTTATGTCATTCGCATACCTGAGGGATAGGCTGCATATATGACCGGGCAGGTCGTTCACATAAACCACAAAGAGCAATGGATCAAGAACCGAGCCTTGGGGACCCCACTGGGAGCGGAATGCCACTCAGAGAGCGATTTGCCAGCACTGACACAGAATTTCCTGTCGATAAAGAAGTCTCGCAGCTAATTCAGCATGACCACACCTATACCTAGGTTGGATAGCTTTCGCAGAAGGCGGTCGTGTGGCACCTAATCGAAGGCCTTGCTGAAGTCCAAGAAGATGATGTCCGTTTCGTGTCCTTTGGCCTTGCTCTCGGTCCAGCATTCACGGACAAGTAGCAGATTTGAGAGGCATGAACGACTCGGCCGGAAACCGAGTTGTTGGTAGCACAGGTGGCCATGGCACACCGAATGCTGCGAAACCGTGCAGCCACCAGCCACTTTACCCATAACACTATTAAGGCTGACTGGTCGGTAGTTTCCAGGGTCACTCCTATCCCCATTTTTGGGTAGTGGGACAATGACAGCATCCTTCCACTGCCGCGGCAAACGCCCTGGAGTGAATGACAAATTGAACAGGCTGCACACTGGTACTGCAAGTTCATCTGCCAACTCCCTCAGGATGAGCAAATGCATACCATCAGGTCGAGGTGACTGGTGAACCTTTAGCGACGCAGCTCCAGGGACACCTCTCCGATGGTAAATGAAGTCCAGTTCAGGGCATTGTCAGTGTCCAATGGATGTGCCAATTTGCTGGAGTCTGAAGTGTACACTGAGACGTAATGTGATGCCAACATCTCCGCTGTCCACATCTTTTTCGGTTATTGCCCCGTCTTTGGCCAGAGTCGGGAGACCACGCGTTGCTCTGATTCTTCGCCTGAGGTAGGCATACAATCACTTTGGTGCTGTACCGAATCCACTGCGAGTCGTTCCTCGAATCTGGTTCTCTTGCATTTTTTCAGTGCAGTGCAATTACTCCGAATACATTGATACTCCTCATATCCTGCACCTATTGAACGGTACCCGGAGGCACGCCCGCAGTTCTCGATCAAACCACGGCTGGCCCATAGCGTGTGTTCGGTGGCAGTGGGGTGGAGAGAATTCCAGTACGAGTTGATGGATTCTATGACGAACCAACTCCCAGGATACATCCACATCCTCAGGGTTTCGGGAATCCCAATTTATGAGTGATGCATCCTGACGCATTTCCGGAAAGGATGAGCGCCACACATTCCGTCCGTCCTGTGGTCTGTCCGTTTGGGGTACGCCACGCCTCCAGGGTATACGCAGAACGGAGTGATCACGAGATGCAATTGATGGAAGGATGTCTGATTGCCTCGGCGAAAACACCAAGTCAAGGATGGATTTTTGATCCCCAACTATCCGCGTGGGAACATGAACATGCTGAACAAGCGAGAGAGGGTCTGGACAGCGAAAAGAAGTTCTCTGGAAAACAAATCTGCCCGCTGAGAGTAGATGTCAGTTTCCTAATCAATATCTGGCGCGTTGAAATCACCCAAGACAAGACAATGTCCATCGCAGGCGTACCTCTGTATGCTGGCCAACAGCATTGGTACGAGTGTATAGAGGTTTAAACTTATTGTGGATGAGAGAAGTTGAGCTCGAGAGGTTCGGGTGTTGAGGATATGATGCATCAGACAAGATAGAGTCACACAGAAAATCACACCTCAAGGCGTTGCTTGACAATGGAGTCAACTAGTGCCTCATTAGAGACAGCTCCATTTCTAGAGATGCTTTTCAGCGAGCTCTTAATTAATATGAAATCCTTAGACAGTAGACCGGGGAAGATAACGGGGAGCGGTAGGTCCAATGGCATAAAACGCAAGAAAAAATAAATTTAGAAAAGATGTAAAACGGCACCCTCAGATGTCAAAGGTGTAAAATATAAAAGATCAACTTCCTGACTTTAAGAAATGTTTGTTCCACGGGATAGAACCACTTGAGGTCAACAGATAAAGAACATCCAAGATATTTGGAGTATTGTAACCTTTCAACTTTTAAGTTATTGACTAAGATGTTGGGAACAGATGATAATCCATAAAGTGTTGATGGCCTACGATGAATGAAAAACAAAACTTCAATGCATTTGTTTAGGTTTACAGAAAGGTTAACACCATTGGATCCTTGAGAAATGAAAGGTGTGGCTGATTGAAGGGTCGGTGAACAACTACTTCCTTGAGACT